TCCTGCAACCTCGACACCAACAAATGGCACCGAATCGAAAAGGACCTGTACCTGGGCAAGTCATGGACCACCAGCGCATACGTACACGTCGCACGGAAGAAGGAGGAGGAGCTGCTACCAGAGGATAAGGTAGTCATGGACGTTTCCGTCGGCCGACTCGACCCCACGACTTCTAAGAAGGGAGAGGAGGACGAGAGGTGGGAGAGCCGACCATACGGATTGTGGGTGAAGCGGTCTTCCAACCAGAAGGACAGCGACTCCAAGAAGGCCGTTACAGGCATCGATGTCCTGTTTGGCGACGACGCGGTTGAGGCTCGCGATGGCTGGCAGATCACCGGAACGCCCTTGCTGCTCCCGCTCAACGAAGAAATCCCCGTCACCCACATCACTCTCCGGAGAGGAAGCCAGAAGGAGCCTCACAAACCACAGCCGCGAATTCCCGAGAACGGCAGGTTCAAAATCATGCAACTGGCCGATCTCCACCTCAGTACCGGCGTCGGCAAGTGTCGCGATGCCATGCCCGAGGGCTACAATGGCGGCCTGTGCGAGGCGGATCCCAGAACGCTGGATTTCGTCCAGAAGATCCTCACCGAGGAGAAGCCCCATTTGGTCGTGCTTAGTGGAGATCAAGTCAATGGCGAAACTGCTCCTGATGCGCAGTCGGTGAGTGGTGTTTTCTCTGTCTGACTGGGCGCAAACTGACTTTACTAGGCAATCTTCAAAATCGCTCAAATCCTCATCAAGTTGAAGATCCCTTACGTTTCAATTTTTGGAAACCACGATGATGAGGGATCGCTTCCTCGCGCTGCTCAGATGCAAATTCTCGAATCGCTCCCATATTCTCTGGCAAAGGCCGGGCCCGAAGAAATCGATGGTGTTGGCAACTACTATGTTGAGGTTCTTGCTAGAGGCAAGTCGGACCATTCAGCACTCACCCTCTACATGCTCGATTCCCACGCATATTCTCCCGATGAGAAGAAGTACCATGGATACGACTGGATCAAGCAGAACCAGATTGAGTGGTTCAAGAAGACTTCTACCAATCTGAAGAAGGCACACAAGGAGTACAGCAAGGTTCACATGGACCTGGCCTTTATTCACATTCCTTTGCCCGAGTACAGGGATGCCGATCTCGCCATCAAAGGCGAATGGAAAGAGGGTGTTACAGCACCCAACTTCAACTCTGGCTTCCGTGACGCCCTCGTCGAGCAGGGCGTCGTGATGGTCAGCTGTGGACAGTAAGTTCCATCCTCAGCCCTTGAAAGAAAACCACAACCTAACCTGGTACAGTGACCATGTCAACGACTACTGCTCCCTCTCGCTAGACAGCCAGCAGAAGCCAGCCCTCTGGATGTGCTACGCCGGCGGAGTCGGCTTTGGCGGCTATGCCGGGTACGGAGGATACCACCGCCGCATACGTGTATTCGAGGTCGATACCAACGAAGCTCGGATCACGACGTGGAAGCGTGTTGAGTGGGGCGACACCAGCAAACGGATCGACGAGCAAATCATTGTTGAAGCGGGCGGGCCGATAGGCATCAGAGAAAAGAAGGCATGACAGAACTTCTCTGACGGTCTATTCGAAACAAAGATGGAAAACAGAAGAAGCAAGAAAAATGAAAGAAAAAAAGAAGAATGAAGTGCTGGAAAATATTTGGAGTTTCGGGTCAGGTTAACTAACAAACGGTGTTTGGGTCTGGCTCATCAACAAGAAAGTCTCTACAGGGAGAAAAAGACTTTCAAAGGGGAAATTCATAGCATGTATTATTTTGACTTGTCAAACTGTCTGAAAGCATCATCTCTTGGGTGGACTGGCACAACGGCAGATTGAAGGCTGAAGTACGGAAGTGATGGATGGGCGTCGGGATGGAAATGTGTACATGTATGTATCTCTATAGGAGACATGACGGCCAAATTTCCTCTTTTTCTGACCTCGTTCTCGTTCTCTTGTGGGTGTATTTGTGAGTCTTCTCAATGTGGGTAGTAGCCGGGGAGACTGAGTTGCTCGGTCAAGACATATACGGCTAGGTATGGGTAAGAATGAACAGGTGCGGATTACACTTCCAGACCAGACGATGCGGTTGGTGGATCGAGAGGGCTCACAGGAAGGGAGATGACTTTCTTCCCAGCCCTAGGACTCAAGACGAGCTCGGACCGGCTCATATCCTACCTCAGGTAGGTATATTAACTTTAGGCAACCTCGGGAGGTAGCGCGTCGCCTGACATGCGCGGGGGTTTCAATGAGGTTTAAGAAGAGCTAGGAGGTCAAGCGGGTGTGACAAAAGCCCAACTGATCTCGAAGGCCACCTTACCGGCATTCTTCACTTATCACCGCAGGCGATGAGGGAGCCAATGGCTGGGTGGTCATGAGGGGCACCGGTGGAATCCAAAGATTCTCGGCCCATCGTGAACCACAATATAACAGGGTCCTCGTCAGAATATCCGACCGGCAGGTTCTATCGCCCTCGTGGTGTTGCATTTCGGAATAACATCCATTCCGTAGGTTTGCTACCTTACACACCGCACAGTGTCGGATTTAATCACCTTCTTTGCTGCCACCGATGTCGTCGGGTAGATATTTCGAGCAAAAGCTGAAGGTCTAATAAGCTCTGTGGCTTGGGAGTGTGTACCCACGACATGCCACGCCATCACACGCGCAACCCCAAGGTTTTGGTCGTGCAGTGGGACGAGGTGTGGGTGGGTAAGGTGAGATGAGGCTGAAAGTGTGTTCTTCCACGCTTGAAGGATGCCACCATCATGTTCTCCGGAAGCTTCGCACAGGGCATGTGTTTTTGTGCTATTTGGACCTTTATTCTTTACCTGTGTGAGATGACTAGATCGTTGAGACAACTTGTCTGGATATACGATATTGCAGATGTATTAAGAAGACTGGGAAAAGGGGCGATGAGGGCTCTCCATGCATTCTGTCATTCGTCTTCTCATCCAGGTATATGTGGGACAAAGGTGGCCTGAGAGGTAGGTAGATTGGCATAGACCTCCATCGAGCTGCAAGGCAGAGGTGTGGTTGTCGGGCGTCCCACTCACACTTGCTCCTGCCGAAGCTGCCTCTCGGGTACGGCACCCAGCGTCTGGAACCGGTCCCGGGGAGACTTCATCGGAACGGCCTACGCCTTGATGCGAATCTTACTCTTAGATTTGCCCATGTTTGCTATTCTAATCTTCCAAATGATGGTAAATTTGATAAAGAGCGTCGGAACTTTGGACATTTGCATCGAGAGATTTCTTCAACTAGCTCAGGACGGTGGTATCGACGACATGGCCACTGGATATACATACCTCTTCGTCTCTTTCTCGGCTTGTTGGTGGCGTCCGTTTCAGCTTAAAGTCCGTGGAGATAGTTTGATGCTCAGGGTTGGGATAACTTCTCGTCGAATATTCCCGCATCTCGGCCTCTGTTTCCTTTTACTTAGAAGGTCGGCTCAGCAGGGAGCCAGCGGCTGTTCATTCAAAGGCAAAAGTCTTATATGCCAGCCATTTGAACCCTTGGAAGCTGAGGGTTTCAGGCGACTATCGCGAAAAGACTGCCTAATATAATCTTCGTTTCTCAGTACGCCGATTTCAAGTTGCTCGGGTGATTCGATATCGCACATCGATTCTGTCCCTTGCCGCGCTCCCTAGCCGTCAGGCATATCGAGGCTCTAAGTACCCTGTTATCGAGGAAATCCAGGATTGCATTAAACTAGCAGTAAGGCTACTGTGGGTGGTCTGGACTGGCTCATTTTGCCTCAGCTTGTGCCGTTAAGTTGGTGTCCGACGTGGAAGTAGGTTGGCGCTAGAACACGCTGTCAGCAACCTTCTGCACCTCTTTGGTCGGTTTGCTCGGTCTGCTTAGATTGCCGTGTTCTATGATATCTCGATTGTCGTGCAGGCAGTGACGTTCTCAAGCTACTTACTGTTTCATAGGTCTCGAGGTCAGAGAGGGTAGACTCTTCGAATCAAGATATCGAGTCCATTGTTTGAAAACGTCCCAGAGGGGGGCTTGTCGTGAGGATGGGGTGACTTACTCGTAGTCCGTCACTTTGTCTACTGTTGTTAGAGCTTATTCGGATCTCAGCTCGGAGATTGCCTTGTTATTCCAAAAGGTGAAGCAGGCCAGTCGCCTGACTTCCTCCGCACGCGCCCTCTACGATACGCGGCAGGACTCCCGCCATCGTAGCTTTCTACCAAATCATTTCTCACCTCGCCATATCATATAGTAGTGACAGGTTGTCTGTGACACCAAGGTACTTACACGCATCTGCGGCGATAGAAAGTATAATGCGTTTGACACCGGCGCCAGACTCGGCGGCACTGTGTATGAGCCTCACTTCCACCAAGCGAAGCCACGAGAGTCCCAGAACCAAGGAGTGCTCTACACAGTGCACGACCCCGACTTCCCAGGGCGAGATAAGATTCATGAGTTGAGAGGACTGAGGGCGTCGTGTCGTTCTAAATCGCGCGTCTGTCAGCCACAAAGTTGGATCAGCATCGGGGGAGGGAAGAGAGTTTTGAAGAGCTTTACCTCGCATTTCCTCGAGCCTTAAAACGTGTTTTGCCCGTCCGCCTCTACACCTCGACCTTTCTTCCCTCTCCATACTCGTTTCCGTTATTCGCGGATCCATCGCTTCTTCGTGTGTATCGTCAATCTTTGCTTGGTTTTCGCCTTGGTGCTTTCGTCCTCGATAAGCCCTGTCAAGTACTTTGGTAAGCTTCGTCGGCCATACAACTATACCTTCCGGAAGAGCATCTCTGACCTCACCTGCATTAGCTTCAATAGCTAGAATAGCTCAACGCACAACTGCTTTTGCACTTCGTTCTCCGTCGCTCGCCTAGTAAGCTTCCTAGACCATGTCCTTACCCATAACGTCCCTCGTAAATATAGCTTCTGTACCAACATGACTTGTCTCCTGTCACTCTTCTCCCACAACTTAGCTTCGCTATTCGTACGTGAATAAACAACTGACCTAGAAAGACAGTGTGAACCACTCGAGACTGTCATCATGAACGGCACCACTAAAGCTCCCGATGCTTTCTCGGCCCCCAACCAGTCGCAGCTGACGCCCGAGTTGATGCTGGGTCTGACGCCGCCGGAGCAAGTCCCTGCCCATAATGGTGCAGGGTGGGAATTTCTCCAGGGGATGAACATCACCCTGCAGGGTCATTGCGAGTGCCTGGGTAGACAAATGCAGACCTGGAAGGGCTCGTACTCCCTTGACTCTCGCTGGGGTGCTCAGCAAAAGCTCGTTACGAACGCACAGCCAGGGCTGAAGAGGTCTGACTGGCGATCACCTTTGTTGGATCAGCCACAGCCCCAGTTCCCAGGCCAGGGTGCTAGCCATCAACAGCCCGAGACTCAGCTGAAGGCACAAATGAAGATTGCTGGGGCGCAGCTTGAAGAGAATAAGAAGAAGCGTAAACGTGATGGGCAGCGCCGGAAGGACAGAAAGCTCGAACATCGGCAGAAAGAGCAGCAGCAGCAGCAGCAGCAACAGCAACAGCAACAAGAAGATGAACTGCTGCAACTGCTGCAACAACAACTGCTGCAATACCAGCAGCTGCAACAACAAGAATTTCAGGCCCAGCAGCTCCAGGCCCAGCAGCAGTCTCAACCACAGTCTCAGCTTCAGACCCTGTCCCAGTCCCAGCACCAGTCCCCCCCGTCTGCCCAGTCCCAGGGTGCAGACCACTGGAGCGACCTGGATTGGCTCGTAAATTCCAATCTCGGGACCGCCGCCATAGGACAAGGGCAGATCGACCTGTTGTTCGACGAAATGGATGGGTCCGACAACACGCAACAAGAGCAAGCCCAGGCCTTCGACGAGATGATCATGTCGAGCGTTCCTCCTCCCAACGTTGACGCTCCAGGGCCATGGGTTCCTCCACCGCCTACAACCTTCGAGGATGTGTATCGCCAACAAGATGAGGAAGATGGCGTTGAACTCGGCCCTTATTCTTCCATGTTGCCTCGGGAGCATTCAATGAGCGGTCGTAGCTAAATGCAGTGTGGACAGCAACGATACTGCACCATAGCTTGCCCCTTTTAGCGTCTTTGGCGTTGTTTTCTGTAAGGGATCCCGAGTTCTGTGGCCTGGGTTGTTTTTTTCTTTCATTCAATGATGTTGCGTCTGCTACCTTACGGTTTAAGCCACTAAAAAGGAGCAAAGTCTTGTATATTAGTAGGAGGATATCTTCGTCTTTATCTACCAGTTGGACCTAAAAAGGCCAATGGCGACATCAACGTTTTGACACGGGAATGTCTGAAAATGCCGCCCATTTTAAGAAGTTAGCCATATATTGGGTCTCATGATGGCCAATTTAGCAGATTTATCCGCAAAGTCTGTTCCCACGGCGATTGAGGTTCTCCAATCTGTGAGCTTCACTTGGTTTCGAAAACCATACATGTCCCGTAGCTGAGCATTATCGACGGGATTCATAGCACCACGGAGCTTGGCTGCCCGGGTCCCCGTCAGCCGGCTTTGGTCATGATAGGGCGCAGGCAGACAGGCATCCTGGGTTTGAGCGAACTCTGTGGGCTGAGGTACGGAGGAGATGCCTGATCGATTCTGCTGGGCCACGTTGATGAATGAAAGGCACCACGGTCTGTTTGGTACCTTGAAGGAAGTCGACGTGCTTAGTCATTCCGTGATTAGAGGTTGGACCTTTTGGGAAGGACTTCGGACTTGGAGTCGACAGTCGCAACTGCACCGGAGGCCCCACACTTCGGCACACCAACCGGGCGCGGGGAAAGTGACGACATGTGGGCTGCAGACAGTCCCTGTCGTGATTTCTAAGCAAAAGAAAAGTGAAAGAAAGCCCCGCGCCCTTTCTACTGCAAATTGCAATGGAGGGGTCACTCTGACGGAAGCAATCGTGCCAAGGTACCACGGTATTCGCAGACAAGAGCTGCCAGACAGTGGCCCAGCGTGCCAGCTTCCACGGACCGTGTGTGGGGCGCCCGCCTGGATTATTAAGATGATGGCAGCTTACATAGCTCTCGTTCACAGAGTGAGGGGTTCGTATAAATGCGCCCAAGTGGCGTCGAGCGCAGTGGCAGGTGGATTAGTATTCAGTATTTAGACCCAAGACACAACTTCACTCTCTGCACATCGCGGCGGCATCACGTAAAACCTCCGTTCAACACTTGCATCGTAAGCATATGACATCTCGGCTAGGACAATTGAGTAAACAAATCTTCAACATGGCTGCCAAGACCAAGACCGATATCCACTTGTACACCACCGGTACCCCCAACGGCATCAAGGTGTCCATTCTCCTCGAAGAGCTCGGCCTGGAGTACCAGGTCACGCCCATTGACATCTCAAAGAACACTCAAAAGGTTGGCATCTCAGAGACCTCCATTTGTTCAGTAGCCCGAGGGTCTACTTTCAACCCCTCTAGAGGCCATTATGCTAATGCACGAGTGCAGGAGCCCTGGTTCCTGGAGATCAACCCCAATGGACGTATCCCTGCCTTGACCGACAAGTTTGAAGATGGCAAGACCATCCGCCTGTTTGAGTCGGGAAGTATTTTGCAGTACCTGGTCGACCGCTATGACAAGGACCACAAGGTCTCTTATCCCTATGGCTCGCGCGAGTACTGGGAGGTGAACAACTGGGTATGGTCTACTTACACATGACCATGAGTGCCGTGAAGCTGACGCAAGAGATGTAGCTGCACTGGCAGATGGGTGGCCTTGGTCCCATGCAGGGGTAAGTTGCCTCTCACTTCTGATGAGATGACGGCGAGCTAATGAGTATTCAGACAAGCCAACCACTTTAAGCGTGCGCCAACTCCTCAATTGCTTCCGTGTTCTTCTGTTCATAAACTGACTCTCGCACAGGCTACGCACCCGAGAAGATCCAGTACGGCATTGACCGTTACACCAACGAGACCCGCCGTCTGTACCGCACCATGGACACAGCGCTCGCGGCAAACCCCAGCGGCTACCTCGTCGGTGACCGCGTGACTATTGCCGACATCGCCAGCTGGGGCTGGGTGGCGGCGAGCAAGTGGGCTGGTATCGACCTGGACGAGTTCCCCGCGCTCAAGGCGTGGCTGTTCAAGCTGGTGGAGAGGCCCGGCTTCGAGCAGGGCCGCCACGTGCCATCCAAGCACACGGCGCTGGACCACTTCAAGATGACGGATGAGGAGCTCGACGAGAAGGCCAAGGGGGCTGCTGCGTGGATTCAGCAGGGGATGAAGGATGATGCTGCCAAGAAGTGAGCGGGTTAAGTGCCTAGTGATGCTCAAGGGAACGGGCCATGAAAAGTACCGATGAACAAATAATTTAAACCAAAAAAGAAAAAAAGAAAACCATTGGATTTCCAACTATGAGCATGTTGGTTTCTACTGACTAATGAAGGATATCGTTGCAGAACAACGCACAACTGCGAGTCGCGCCAAAACCGCGATCTTCATGAGTCTGAAGACCGGCGTAGCATTCAAGCTCAAATGCGTCCAATCGGGTCGGTTAGCTCAGTTGGTTAGAGCGTGGTACTAATATTTCATAAGAAATGTTGTGTAATGCCAAGGCCGGGAGTTCAAGCCTCCCACTGATCACATTTTTGACAATTTTGACAAATTGCCGCTGGTGGAAGTCAAACATCATCAAAATACGGTGTTTGGGATGGGTTGCAAGCTTCGTTGGTTGGAGTTATGTTCCAGTTGCCCTTTTCTTTTTCTGTTCATTGTGCTTTTGAGACGAAGGTTCGACCGACCGTTGGCGCTAGTCCTCTTCTCGGTCCGTGTCTGTGGAATCGGACTTAGGCTGTCACGTGCACCTATCGAGCTTCCTCATCGGGCCCGCCTCAGTGGCGCCCAAAAATTCGGGCCAATTGGCTCTCGCCCCTTAGCTGGAGGACAGAAGGCGCCAGGCTGAAAGATTCCTGTTCAGTGAGGGCCCTCCCATACTATTGCAACGGTTCCATATAAAAGTTCCCTTCCCTTAACCATCGAAATCCACAATCACCATCACACCACCCTATTCCCTCTGACTGACAGCTTGCTTGCCATCGCGCATCAGTCAAAATGTCGTGGAGAAACCAGGGAATCACGGGTTCCAACAACATCCCTTTGGGAAAGCGCCGGTTTGGCGGCGATGATGGTGGTGAGGAGGAGTTTCAGGAAGCTCCCCCCAGCAATGGCAACGGAGAGCTGAAGCGCGGTCGCAGCCCAGAGCCTCGTAAGTCTTCGCATTGCATCATGTTCCTCCTACTATAGCAGATGCTAACGTCGCTTCCAGGTACCGATGCCGATGGCCCTCGCCGCAGAAAGAAGAGAAACCGTTGGGGCGACGCGTCCGAAAACAAGGCTGCCGGATTGATGGGCTTGACGACGGCCATCACGGCGAACATGACCGGCGAGCAGTTGGAGGCTTACACCCTTCATCTCCGTATTACGGAAATTAGCCAGAAGCTTCGCATTGACGACGTCGTTCCCGCGGATGGAGACAGGTACGTTGTCCACACGTGTCCAGCAATGCGCAGCACCTCGCTAACTGCCACTGTCTACAGATCACCCTCTCCTGCTCCCCAGTACGATAACCACGGTCGCCGTATCAACACGCGCGAGTACCGATACCGCAAGCGCCTCGAAGACGAGCGCCACAAGCTCATCGAAAAGGCCATGAAGACTATCCCTAACTACCACCCGCCACAGGACTACCGCAGGCCCACCAAGACCCAAGAGAAGGTCTACGTGCCTGTTAACGATTACCCAGAAATTAACTTCAGTATGATTGCTAACCCTCTAACCCTAACCAAAATTTCTTGTTTCCCTTGTTCCCTGCCTGGACTCTGGCCAAGCTTGTCATGCATCCTCCAGGTGTCTTGTCAGACCTGGCCTTGTTTGGAGACTGGGACCGTCATATAACTTGCTTCACCCTTTTGATACAGACACTAACGCTTAGCTCTCGTCGTAAAGTCGGCTTACTTATCGGACCCCGTGGCAACACTTTGAAGAAGATGGAGGGAGAATCCGGCGCCAAGATTGCCATTCGCGGCAAGGGCTCAGTCAAGGAGGGCAAAGGCCGTTCGGACGCAGCTCACGCCAGCAACCAGGAGGAGGATCTTCACTGTCTCATTATGGCCGATACAGAGGAGAAGGTCAACAAGGCCAAGAAACTCATTCACAACGTCATTGAAACTGTAAGTTCCCCCTCCCCCCTTTTCAATGACGATTGGCAGCGAATGCTAACATCTCTTCTGCTAGGCCGCCTCCATTCCCGAAGGACAGAACGAGCTCAAGCGCAACCAGCTTCGCGAGCTTGCTGCCCTCAACGGTACCCTCCGTGACGACGAGAACCAGGCTTGCCAGAACTGTGGCCAGATCGGCCATCGCAAGTACGACTGTCCCGAGCGCCAGAACTACACTGCCAGCATCATCTGCCGCGTCTGTGGCAACGCTGGACACATGGCTAGAGATTGTCCCGACAGACAGAAGGGTGCCAGCTGGCGCAATGACGGCGCCGGCAGAGCTGACTCGGCTGGCCGCATTGAAGGCGGAGACGCTGTCGACCGCGAGTACGAGGTACGTTTTTCTGCATTCCTGATCCACAATCCCAATACTGACTTTGCGATAGCAACTCATGCAAGAACTCGGCGGCGGTTCAGCCGGTGGCGCTGCACCTGCACGCATCGAAGCCGGCCCTGGTTCCTACAATAACAACGGACCCAGCGGCGGTGATGCGAAGCCCTGGCAGCGTGGCCCTACCGGCGGACCTGCTCCTTGGCGCAGCCGTAACAACGACTCACGCGATGATCGCGATCGTGGTGACCGCGATCGTGACGGTGGTGGCGGCGGCGGCGGTGGTCCTGCACCTTGGGCTCGCGATCGCAACCGTCGTGATGACCACGGAGGCGGCCACGGAGGCGGCCACGGCGGCTACGGCGGCGGTGACCACTATGGCGGTGGCGGCCAAGGTGGCTACGGTGGTCAATCTGCTGGCGCTGCTCCCGGTGCCGCTCCCTGGCATCAGCCTCCCGGAACTCAGAACGGCTACGGTGGCTATGGTGGATACCCGGGATACGGTGCTCCTCCTGGCATGGCCGCACCGCCATCTGGCGCCCCTCCGCCGCCTCCTGGTGCTCCTGGTCTTGGAGCTCCTCCAGGTCTGGCTGGTGGCCTCAACGCACTCATCCAGCAGTATGCCGGAGGCGCCCCTCCCCCGCCTCCCTCGGACAATGCTCCTCCTCCGCCTCCCAGCGACCAACCTCCCCCACCTCCCCCTGGTGCCTGAAGTGGTTTGAGGGAGCTAGGAGGTAGATCAGACGACTAACTTTGATGCTAAGCTCGCATCTGCACACCGACTACGTTGACAACTAACGCTCAACTAACAACCAAGGATTCATATCATGACTTCCAGGGTTGGACAAGTGTTCGCACCTACGCATCAACGTGTTTTCTCTCTCCTGAGTATTTGAAGACCCCAGTGTGGGCAGCAAGCACTTAACGCAAAAAGCAGAATCAACAAAACAGCGGACACAAAGCAAATTGTACGATAGAACGGGAACGGGAATTCTAGTGGACACTAATCCATAGGCTTATTTTATGCATCGGTGCGTTTGTTTTAGAGCCAAAAGATGAAGTTCATCCCAATTGAGGAAATCTAGCCTGTCCACGTGAAGTTATTTGTGACACACTTGAAAGCTCAAAGCGCTGTATCGAAGTCGGATCCGAGTGCTGGAGAGGCAGAAAGAGTAGAGAGTTCAAGATGACTAGCCACCCAAGCTGTCACCGAAACTCTGTATCGTGGCGCTACGATATCTTGATGTCCAACACCACTCCAATCAAATTTCAACGGGCCAAGATTGAAGAGAGCCAGTCGCGAGTTTTCTGGGCGAGGTTGCATAAGTTCCCCGCATCGATGACATTCGCCTTGCATGTGAAGTGGGTGGGTGGGCTACCTGAGGCTCGAATGGAGGCCGCCGTTGGCGCTCTAGAACAGAGCATGGGAGCTTGGGCCACCTAAGATACCGTACAGCAATACCTAGCAGCAGCAGCAGCAGCAGCAGCCAGCTCCGGCCCACTGCACATCATCCCAGGCCAGGAAGGTGCGTCCAGTGTCTGTCCCAGATCTGGCATGACGCCTTCCCACACCCTGAGCGCGGCGTTTCCACCTCCAGCCTCCTTCGTCCTTCATCCCACCTGCAGAACTTCCCTTCTGTCGGCTGACAACTTTGCTCCGTTGCCTTTGTTCGCCTTTTGCCATTTCTCGTCAGCTTCCTCCGTGACCCGTTCGTTTTCCCCGCTGATCGACTGCTATCGTTGTTTCGCAAGGGTTTCCCAGGCCCATCCATTGCTTGCGCCTATATGCCCTGTAACACTACCTAGTCGCAATTATCTATCGCTTTGCCTTATCTGAGCTTCCGAGGGTTCGTTCACGCAACCCCTCTACCGAGCAGGCTCCGGCCATCTCCGCAGCCTTTCCTCCGAGGACAAAGCTGGAAGACTCGGAGCTTCGTAGCCTCTTCGCATCGTCTGGCAGGACTCGAGATCGTATCAGCTACATTGCGAAGCTTTCAGCGACGCGGTCAGGAGTATTCCATCGGGCAATCCCAGCAACATTCGGTAGCAATGGCTGCCAAGAACCCATTCGGGTTCACGACAGGTCCGGTCACTTTCTGGCTGATTGTCGTCTACGCGGCCTTCCTCGTTCCCCTTGTCTGGATTCACGAATCCGTGCCGTCTGTTCCTAGCCACAATCCTTACACTGGCGTCAATGTAACCGAGGCATGGCAGGACTTGACGCACATCACCAAGAACTACCACCCGTACAACAGCCGTGCCAACGATGAGGTGGGCGCATACCTCTTGACCCGGATCGAGGAGATCTTGCAACGCAATGGAGTCGATTATTCCAAGGAAAAGGATGCAGGTGGCGTTGTCTGGCCTCAGGACGCCCAGTGAGTAAATTCCGTGTGTTCGTTCTTGTGCCGAGAAAACGTGCTGACTAGAGGCTGCTGCAGTGGCACACCAGCACTTCCACGCGAAGATGCCGTTGAGCGTGCTTCGACTGGCCCCCTCGTAACGGTCTTCGACGACATAATCTCAAACGTGACCTATGCTGGCACCTCTGGCCCACTCGGTCAACCTGGTACTTCGGCCCATGCAACCTACTTTGAGGGCACAAACAAGCTTGTATACATCCGCGGCACAGAAGACGAAGATGGTGAATGGTGGAAGGGCAAGCGTGGCAACATTGGCCAGGGCGGCGTTCTCGTTAATGCTCATTACGACTCGTAAGTGGTATCATTGCTGTGCCAGGCCTTTATGTTGACAGACGAACAGAGTCTCCACCGGCTATGGAGCCACTGACGACGGCATGGGTTGTGTAAGCGTTCTTCAGATGCTCAACTACTTCACTTCTCTTGGCCAGCAGCCCAAGCGTGGAATCGTACTATTGCTCAACAACGGCGAAGAGGATGGCCTGTACGGAGCCAGAGCCTACCACTACAGCCCTCTCTACTACTTCACAACCTCATTCGTGAATCTCGAGGGTGCCGGCGCGGGAGGGCGAGCCATCCTCTTCAGAACCACTGACTTGGAGGTATCCAAGGCTTACGCCAACGCTCCTCATCCCTTTGGATCCGTTGTTGCTGCAGACGGCTTCAAGCTTCGAGCGATTAAGAGCGAAACGGATTACAAGGTGTGGGTCGAGAACTTTGGCCAGCGCGGCCTCGACATCGCATTCTACCGACCTAGAGCGCGGTACCATACTAACCAAGACGATACCCGACATGCCTCGCAAGAGAGCCTTTGGCACATGCTTTCAAACGGCTTGGCTGCTGTTGATTCGCTTCAGAAGACTTCGGGCTCCTTCACCGGTAAGCGCAATGACGGAGACAAGAAGAAGGTTTCAAGCGGTTCCGGAACAGAGGGCGTTTGGTTCGATATGTTTGGCAAGGGATTCGCCACTCTTGAGCTTCGTGGCCTCTTCGCATGGACATTGACCCTGCTCATTGTGTCTCCCCTGATTTTGGTCCTCGTCACCTACATCCTATCGAGGCAGGACAAGTACTACTTCTTCTCGAGGAAGGTCAAGATAGACATTGACGACGAATCGGTCCCTCTTGGCGGTTGGAAGGGTTTCTTCCGTTTCCCCTTGGCCCTTATTTTCTCGGGCGCGATCACCGTCCTTTCTGCCCTCCTGGTTCGAAGACTGAACCCTGAGGTTGTTTCCAGCAGTCCTTATGCAGTGTAAGTCCAAGTCAACTCCATTGTACGTTTCCAAGCTGATGCTTTACACTATAGCTGGGCAATGACTTTGTCTGTGTTCTTTCTCGTATTCTGGACAATCTCGCGCGGCGCCAACGCCGTCAGGCCGAGCGCTCTTCAACGCGGTTATGCCCACATTTGGCTCTTCATCTTGAGCTGGGCTATCCTCGTTGCTGTTACCACCGCTGCCGACAGATTCCAGATTGCTTCGGGATATCTCTTTGCCTTCTTCCATTCCGCCGTCTTTGTTGCGACGCTCATCACTCTCTGCGACCTTTTCGCGCTCCCGAGCAAGCGAGCCTACGCAGAGACGGCCCACGACGATCAGCAGTCTAGGGATAACATATCCGAGGTTCCCAATTCTGATGCTTTGATTTCTCCGAGTCCGCACGAGGAGGGCACTACTGAAGAGCCCACGGAAACAACGCCGCTTAGGAGTGGCGACAATGGCAGTGGAAATAATGGCACAATACGCACGACATTCGCAACAACCTACCGACGCTCGCTCTCTGCCATCATGTCCAACCCAGATGACGACGACGAGGAGACTAAGGAAACAAGAGAGAAGCAACCCTATGAGAAAGAACAACCGTGGTCAGCGAAGCTCCCATCTTGGACCTGGTTCTTCCAACTCCTTCTGCTCGCTCCGATCACCATCATCGTCTTTCTCCAAGTGGCTCTGTTCATCACCTCGGCCATGCAGTCCATTGGCGCCGATGGTGTGGACCCTTTGCTTCTCTATACCGCGATTGCCGTCTTCAGTATCATGATTTCTTTGCCTCTTACTCCATTCATCCACAGGACGAGCTCCTACGTGCCGTTGGCCCTGCTGTTCATTTTCCTCGTCAGTCTCATCTACAACCTTGCCGCCTTCCCGTTCTCCGCGAACAACCGCTACAAGGTCAAGTTCATTCAGCACTTGGACCTGGATAATGGAAACTCTTCAGTCTCGATTCTCGGCCTGCAAAAGTACGCCCGCAAAATGATCAACGAGTTGCCATCTGCGGCAGGCCGGGAAGTCATTTGCACTCCATCAGCTGGCTTGCTATCTGACTGTCGATTTGATGGATCTGCAGTGTTGCCCAGACTGCCTGAGCTTAAGAGCACCTCGTTTTCAGGACTCGTGTCTTCAAAGGATCCATACGCACATCTCGTGACTGTTAACATCACTTACTCGAACTCGACCAATGAGTATGAGCTTTGCATTGATGCCCCAGAGTCAAAGCAGTGTGTTCTCAATTTCGACGACGCTGTGACGTTTGACGTTCGGGAGGGCGCCGGTATCGACTCCCTCTTCAGCACACCTACTGAAGGGGGCATTAACGGCATCACGCTTTGGCGGAGGGACTCGTCTATCCCATGGACGATTGACGTCAAACCAGCCGCCAAGCCCTCGGCGGCTAAGCCCGCGGAGTCAGTTCACAAGGAGACTCCCAAGGAGCACGAGGAACTTCGGATTCGCCGGGTTCGAAAGTCTACAGGATTCAGCGGAACGATCTCGTGCTCTTGGAGTGATGCCAACGTTCGCGGGACAATCCCTGCCTTGGACGAAGCTTTACAATATGCCCCTGACTGGATCGCCGTCACAAAGCAAGACGTAGGCCTGGTCAAGGCATACAAGCGCTTCAAGGCCTAACAAGATATTGAAACTCATTTCACTGTCAACTTGGTGAAGTTTGATTTCACTTTGTTTCGTGGGGTTGTAGGGGAGGACGCGCGGGTTCATGGCTAGAGCGATACATGAGAGGCCATGAACCGATGGAAAGCTGGAATAGTGCTTTTATTCATGGCGGTCGGCAACTGGAATTTTGTTCATTGGATGGCGTTTCGAGAGGCATCTTTCACGTTAGCATGCGATCATGGGGTACAGCATAATCACTAGTGGCTAGGCTGCGGACGGGTAACGAAAGCATGCGTAATAGGTATCAATTTGAAGTATCATTCAGGAAACGCCCCTGTTATTCAAGCATACGCTGTCGAATCGTTTTCAGCCATGTTGCGGAAGTTAGGTATGTGTGCGTATTCCTCGAGTATTGTGTATACCGGGTCTGCGGATTCAGGACCTGCGTTGAATAGCTTGCCTTACATTCAGATTGAGGTCGCTCTTCCTTCAACCAGGCCCTCTCGATCCTCGTGGTCGAGCGGTATACCGCCCTTGTCCGTTAGTACAGGACTTGGTATGAAATCTCGAGAAGTCAACGGATGGAGGATTTCGTAGGGGCCTAGTTCGATTTACGGACTGGGTACCTGAGCTTTTGCTTTTTTGCCCCTTTCGATGCCTTCCATCCATCCCATGAACTGCAAACGATTTAATGTAATAGGGTATCAATTGTTGGTCTCCCGCGCAAGTCTGCTGGCAAGAGTCCGCCTGGTATTAGGCTCTTCTTCTCGTTCCAATACCACTTTGGTATGAAGTAAATGAGACTCCCATCACCGAGCCATCCAGACATTTCCCAGGCTTGCTTCTACTAAACTGCCAGCTTTTCCATCACTCCTGCATCCTCTCATCCTTGATACCACCACCAGCTCCTTCGGCCACCTCCTTGGCGTGATACCGCTCCAGCAGCTCCCTCATCTTGGCCCACAACTCGGCCTCCATGTCGCGCTCGACCTTGTTGTTGCGGCTATTGAGCCACCCGACGTCAAGGTTACCAATGGTGCCGACGCCGTTGGGTTCGAGGGAGGGACGGGCGACGATTTTGGCGTCCTCGTTCATGACGGGTTGGCGGCTTTTGGGATCGGCGTCGTTGCGGAGCTTGATGATGGAGGCCTCTTCGAGGGCGAGAATCTGGCGCTTCATGTGGACGTCTACTGTGTGCAGGGTGGAGAGGAGGGCGTCCATTGAGGTTTTGAAGGTTTGGGTTTGGGAGGAGGAGGATGATGGTTGGGGGGGAGGAACGGATGGGTTTGAGGGGTCTGATGATGGGGAGGACTTTGGGGGTGCGCCGAGGGCGGAGAGGGCGGATGAGGTGTGGGACATTAGGGAGACTATTTGGGTGTCGATTTCGCAGAGTTGTTGGATTCGTTCTTGGAGGGTGAAGGGTTCGTTTGGGGCGTCTGTTGTCATTGCTGTGTCTGCCATTGTTGCGTTTGAGAGCTGATTTCGGATTTTATAGGTAGAACAGACGTGTGCAATTGGTGAGTTTGAGGAGTTGGGAAGAGGACAATATTTGGGTGGATCGTGGTTCTTGATGAGTGTAAAGTAGTTTGTGAGATGAGAGGTTGAGGTGGTGAGTGAGATTCAGTGGGTGAGTGCTCGAGCTCACAGGTGAGCTCCAAGAGGTCGCGTCTGAGTTGAAAAAAGGTGGGCCCGACCACCGGGGAAGGTCGAAGCTCTCTTCCAATGACTGAGAGCGAAGAGGTATACACTATGCCGAGAAAGGCTTAGCGCCATTCTCTCCAGATATTTTCCGCCGCCAACCTTGACCTCACGTCCTTTCCTTTGCAGCCTCGCAGGGGATGAAGGAGCCTCATTTCATCGGGGCCGGACGCGACTTTCGACGACATCTCATCGAAGTTTATCATCAATAGTCGGAACTTCGCATCTGCAGCACTACCTGCTGATAGTCAACGTCACCTCAGAGAAACACGCTCATTAGAAACCTGGAGATTACGGCCTCGGTTTCCGCCACGGATACCCGACCTTAGCTCGACGACTCACGATCACGTCTCACCCGCCCGGTTCACGACTAATGCGCCGAGAGACGTGAAAGGCGCATCGCCACATCGAAACCAGGAATTTTCATCTACACCAACTGCGCGCGTTCCAACACTATCAAAATCGTTCTGTAAAAAATGTCGGGAACCCCGGCTCAACCAGGTGCTAGCACCACCCCGGGCGCACCAGCAGCGGCAGCAGCAGGCGCAGCAGGCACAGGCGCGTCGGGATCCTTTTCACAACAGCCTCAGCAGCAGCAGCAGCAACAACAAGCTGCGTCGACAGTACCGGCGACGGTGACGCCTATTCCTGCTCCTACTATCCCGACTAGCCAGACGCCGATCCCGCCCCCCGCGACGGCTACGCCTGCGCCTGCGCCGGCGCCGGCTACTGCGCCCATGTCGAATCAGAATCTGAATCAGATTGTAAGTTGGGATTCCAGTTGTCAGTTTGGTGTCTTTTCTGTGGTTCCTATGCGTCTATATGGGGAGGAAGGGTTGTTCGATCGTTCGGTTGCTGCGAGTGTGGTGACCGTGGCGGTCGACGGCTGGTGGTGATGGCAAGTGCTGTTGGAACCGTGAGAGATGAGATCGGCGGGTGAGGATCGTGTATTCCTTCGAGGGCGGGGGACAGAAGGACAGCAATTGCTTCTTCCATCTTCCGCAAGAATTGCAGAAACAAAACCCATCTCATGAGTGATTGCCAGTTCACATTTCTTTGTGTGTTTGGTTCTGCTTGCCTTTTCCTCATCCATCACCTTTCACCATCATCATTCAACTCATACACCTTCCAATTCGTCTTTATTATTCTTTCACGTCAAAATATCATCAACATCCAGGAGTTTGAAGACAATGGCCAGTCACCTTCAAGAGAGAGTGTCCAAGGTTGAGATGGTAGGTCAGTGCGGCGTGGCTTCTGGATTCTCGTGGAAGAGGATCGCCTCTCTCCCAACACCCTCCTTGTCTCCCATTCCTTATGTTGATCATGATTTCTCTATTCCTATCTCTTCATCCTCTCTCCTTCCTCCTCCACTTTCTACTTGTCTTCGGCGCGAGAGAGCATACATGTTCGTTCCAGAAGATATAGAGACTGCGAAGGCAGCGAAAGTACGATCGCGCAGACTTGCCTTTTCAACGCTTTCCCCGACATTGCTGACAGTTTCTAGGTCACAGACTATCTCCTGAAGCGAGGATACACTCGTACTGAAACCATCTTTCGCCAAGAGTCTTCGCACTTGGGTCCTGACGGCAGACCCATTCACAATAAGGTTGATGATTTGGGCCCTAAGAAGTACTTGAAGGCTTTCAACTTGCTCCGTGAGTGGGTCGAGAACAACCTCGATATCTACAAGGTAAGCCTCTAGTAGTCCGTCTGATTCTGGCCTTTCATTATTTCTAACCTTTTACAGTTCGAGTTGAACAAGCTTCTCTGGCCTGTCTTCGTCTACTCCTGGCTCGAGCTCGTCACTCAGAACTACTCTGAGGAAGCCAAGATCATCCTCAACAACCTCAAGTCGTACTTTGAGAATGTCCACTCCGATGACCTGAAGACCTTCTCCACCATTACACTGGCTCTGCACGCCAAGGAAAACCCTACCACCAAGTTGTACAGAGAGAACAAGTACCGCGTTCCGCTCAACCAGCACATCAGTGGTAACCTCTTCCACTTCCTCGAGCGCGAGCGGGACAATGGCGGCGCCGTTATCCTGTACATTCTTTCGACCTTCTGCCAGTTGGATTCAACGGCCCGTGGCCCCATCGAGCCTTTCAGCTTCGAGGCGATTTACCGCCGATCTCAGAACCTCGACATTGACGAGGTGGATCTGCAAGAGGGTATCCCTGGAGTCTTCACCGGCATTTCAAACAGGGACCTCTTGGACAAGACGGTACCCCTCAAGCTGGGTCCTCTGCCCATGGAAGAGGACCTCCGCGACGATGTCAGGGCCGAGCTCCAGGATGAGGATGCGCTCAACCCCCCGCCCGATGGCCGTGCTACTTTGGTAGACGAGTTCGATCGCAAGATCAAGCGTGAGGAGAGCGCCGACGGCCCCACAAGAGCTGACCTGCCTTTGCCTCCATCTCGCGCCAGAGACGTTGTCATGGAGATGCAGAAGGTCAGAGAGAACCGTGATCGCTTCAAGATTGACGGACGTACCGGCGGCGTCGGCGTTCCTGTGAGCGCGTGCATGTTCACTTTCCACAACACTTTAGGAAGGCAAGTAGTACGTTCTTATCCAGGGAATTTGACTAACGGTTTGGTATAGTGTCTCATGCATGGACTTCTCCAAGGATCACGAAATGGTTGCTATTGGCACCACGGATTCCTACATCCGAGTGTGGCATCTTGAGGGCAAGCCTCTCAAGTCGAAGCGCAATGACGAGAAGGATTACAAGTTCAACAACCGCAAGCTTATCGGTCACTCAGCTCAAGTGTACTCAGTTTCCTTCTCCGATGCCATTGCCAAGCTCGAGCATGCGCCATTCGGCGAGGAGGGCAAGGGCGAGTCTCCTATCGAGACGAGCTCCAAGCTGCTGCTGTCTTGTTCTGCGGACGGCACCGTTCGAGTGTGGTCGCTGGATGTCTGGGCCTGCGTCTGCGTCTACAAGGGCCACGATGGTCCGGTGTTGAGAGCCGAGTGGGGTCCTTTCGGTCACTACTTCTTGACTGGCGGCTGGGACAAGACTGTTCGCGTCTGGATGCAGGATCACGCATCCGCGCAGCGCATTCTCGTCGGTCACGATTCCAGCATCTCAGCTGTGGCATGGCACCCGAACGGAACATACGTGTTCTCGGCTTCCGACGAAACGGACAAGTCGGTCCGCATGTGGTCTGTCATCACCGGCCAGTGCGTGCGTGTCTTCACCGGTCACACGGACTACATCTCCACCATCGAGGTCGCGCCCAATGGCAGAATCTTGGCCACGGCTGATTGCAGTGGCAATATCTTCCTCTGGGACATCCAGAAGGGCCTCCGCATCAAGCGCTCCCGCGGCCACGGTAAAGGCGGTATTTGGTCCATGAGCTTCAGCGTCGAGTCCAACGTTCTCGTCTCTGGCGGCCAAGACGGCACTGTCCGTGTGTGGGATGTCGAGCTCCCTGCCGAGGGCCACAAGGCGGCTCAGCAGCAGCAAGGAGCGGCGCCTGCTCAAGAGGGAGGCGACACCATCGTTGCGGCCAGCGGACAGACGGATCGCCCGACTGCTAGCGGTCAGGGAGCGACTGGCAGTGGATCTAGTGCTCCCAGTGGCGGAAAGAAGAAGGGCAAGGAGGTTATGATCACGCCCGACCAGATCAGCGCATTCCCGACCAAGAAGACGCCCGTCATGAAGGTACAGTTCACCCGCATGAACCTAATTGTGTCTGGTGGCTGCTATGATCCCGACCGTTAAGCGCAACATGCATCTCTTCTCACTGCGGAACGGGATTTTCTGGAGGGAAAGAATCAGACTGTCTTCATCTTGAGTTTGGCGTTGGGGTCACGGTAGTCGACAAAATGTGATTTGGGCGAGGTAATCCTGGTCTGGGACAGCAAAATCGCCTGGTTACTGGTTTGTGTAAATCATCAATGTAGTAGATACCTTTAGTCAATTGGGAAGGCTGTAAAGCCAATTTGCCCGTGATCTAAGTAAAATGCATGTGAACGCTTCCCTTTGAATTGTATCTTTGTTCATGGCATGTCTCGGTAAGGTACTTCGTACTTTACCACCGCCATTGCCCGGCGTCAGTCAAGACAGGAACAGTGACGTTGACCGCAACCGCTAGGTACCTCGAGTGCGGCGCTCCTGGGGCAGGCCGGGTAGGTACCTACAGGCTACAGGGGCCTCGATGGGCTCTGGGGTCCCAATCGAGGTCGAGTGGCTGAAGCTTCCAACGGGCCTCAGCGAATCAGGTAGTGCGGAGCAGCTGTGCACCTTTCGCATTGAGCCTCTGTCAGTCAGACACAACCAGAACCGGCCGTGCCTTGGATGTATCTCACCTTACTGTGCTGCCTTGCCTTTTGCCAGACCACATCCCACCTCACCTCAATTCACCACCCCAACCATCGCCCGCTTTCCGTGGTACTCTACAGGCCCGTCATCTAACCCGATCTCATTCTCACGAAATTACCATAGCCACTGGCGCATCGAGCAAACGAAAGGATGGATCCCCTCGAAGAATCGCCATGGGGCGATTCGCAACCCACCTCCGAGCCATCGACCCAACAGCAGCCCTCCCAAAGCGAAGAGTCGACGTCGTCGCAGCCCGCGGCCAAGTCAGACGCACCCAGCACGGCATCCGCACCTCGCCCTTCACGCTCCGGACCTGTTCGTCGCCTCGTTTCCGCCCAACCTACCCGCCTCGAAGCCGTCGACGATCCCCTCGGTCCTTTGGGTCCCCTCGGCGCTCCCGCCGCCGCAGACAATGGCGCCGAAGCCGGCCAGGATGCTCCGCCCGTGCCGCCGCAGAAGGAGCAGATGGTGATCCGCACCTCGATGCCGCCCCAGCAGGGCCGCCGCGCCGGACCTTCCGACCCTCATCACATCGACGAGGACGATTACGACCGCCCGTCTGGCCCGAGGCAGCCGCCGCCCGTTCAGGCTGCGCATCCTAGCCCGGTGCGGACGCACACTCAGCCTAGCGTCAGCGTCGAGCAGGCTAGCAAGCCGAGCTTCCAGATCACGGTGGGCGATCCGCACAAGGTTGGAGACTTGACCAGCTCGCATATCGTCTACTCTGTCAGGACCAAGGTAAGATGAAGCTCTTCCATTGGTGAAGCGGGGATTGGGGGAGAGGAGCCCGCGCTAATCATGATGGAATCGACAGACCTCCTCAAAGGCATACAAGCAGCCCGAGTTCGAGGTGAAGCGCAGATACCGTGACTTCCTTTGGCTGTACAATACGCTGCACGGAAATAACCCTGGTGTTGTTGTGCCGCCGCCGCCGGATAAGCAGGCTGTCGGTCGCTTCGAGAGTAACTTTGTTGAAGGGCGTCGCGCCGCTTTGGAGAAGATGGTGAACAAGACTGCTGCGCACCCTACCCTACAGCACGATGCCGACCTGAAGCTGTTCCTCGAGAGCGAATCATTCAACGTCGACGTCAAGCACAAGGAGCGGAGGGAGCCGATTCCCGGAGAAAGCAAGGGTGTCCTCGGCAGTCTGGGTATTAACGTCGGTGGCAGCAGCAAGTTTGTCGAGCAAGATGACGTGAGTGTGCGCTGGGATTACCAGGAGGACTGTATACTGACAGAGGACGACAGTGGTTCCATGACCGCAAGGTCTACCTCGATGCGCTCGAGAACCAGCTCAAGGCGTTGCTCAAGGCAATGGAGACAATGGTTGGCCAGCGCAAGATGATGGCCGAGGCCGCTGGAGACTTTTCGGCGTCTCTGCACGCTCTGTCTACGGTTGAGCTTTCGCCCTCGTTGTCGGGCCCGCTGGATGCGCTGTCCGAGCTGCAGTTGACGATCCGCGATGTCTATGACCGTCAGGCCCAGCAGGATGTTTTGACCTTTGGCATCATTATCGAGGAGTACATCCGCCTGATTGGGTCAGTTAAGCAGGCGTTCAGCCAGCGACAAAAGGCGTTCCACTCGTGGCACTCTGCCGAGTCAGAACTGCAGAAGAAGAAGGCTTCCCAGGACAAGCTCCTGCGGCAAGGCAAGAGCCAGCAGGACAGGCTGAACCAGGTTAGCGCGGAGGTCGGCGACGTGGAGAGAAAGGTGCACCAGGCCAGGCTCCTATTTGAGGATATGGGTCGGTTGATGAGGGCGGAGCTTGACCGCTTTGAGAGAGAAAAGGTGGAGGACTTCAAGAGCGGCGTTGAGACCTTCTTGGAGAGCGCGGTGGAGGCACAAAAAGAGGTAAGACAATCCGCGACATGCATGAGGTGGGATTGAGGCTGACGCTTGACAGTTGATTGAGAAGTGGGAGACGTTCCTCATGCAGCTGGATGCCGAGGATGACGAGACGGTCTTTTACCGGCCGCCCGTCATTCAGCCCTCGGGCAAACCGCCCGGCAACACGGCCATTGACAGGGCTCGTGCCACCATCAACGACGACTCTGACTAGAAGCCCGAGGCACGGCGTCCGCTGATTCACTACATTATACCTACGCATCACAGCAGCGGTTTCTTCTTCGACCCCACGGCGCACTGGGACGAGTGACGAGTGAATCAAGTGTGGGCAATAAGTGCACATTGTGGAGCCTATCCTTTCTTGGTTGTAGTAGTTGTGGTTGTTGTACATATCTGACAGTAGAAGAAACCCCATGGGGGGTATAAGGGGCTCCCGTAATCCACCTCCTCCTCTGACCACGCTTTTGATCGCCTCCTCGGCGGGTCTCCGTGAAGTCTCCCTTTTTATACAATAATCCGGCTCTGTGCATCGTACAAGCTTCTTTTCTCGCCAGCTATACGCAGGGGATGCTGACGACAGTGGTGATGGTTTTGTTTGTGTCATGCTCTCGCGTTGCCTTATTTCTTTCCCTTCTTGCCCTTCTCCGGTGCCGCCGCCTTCTTGGGGGGCTCCTTGACAGCCTGCTGCGGCTGCATCGCGGCGTACCCGCTGATCAAATCGCCCATATCGAAGATGTCGTCCTCCTCGGGGGTAGCAGCCGGCTGGGCAGGCTTCGCGGTCTCCTTTGCCGGGGCGGCAGCAGCAGCATCCTTTCCAGCAGTCTCCTTTCCTGTGGCAGCAGCGCCCTTTCCAGCGTCCTTTGCAGAAGAAGTTGCAGCCGCAGCGGCAGCGGCGTTGAGCTCCTCCTCCGTCGGCTTCTTGGCAGCCAAATCGAACCCGCGACCGAAACGCTCACGGAAGGCCGCGAGTTTTCCGGCCTCGTCGACTTCCACGTTCTTCAGGGACTTGTCAGAGGGTTGCCAGAGGGCGTGGTTGCGGGAGTCCTTTGCGGAGCGGACGAGGGGGCTCGGGGAGGTGGTGCGGACGGTGTAGGTGCTTCCGTCGGAGAGCTGGATGAGTTGGGTGAAGGTGTAAGGGCGGCGGGGGCGGGGAATGAAGGTTGCTGCACGGGATTGTTGGGTTGGGAGACCTATTCTCGGTGAGGAGGCGGAGGAGATTGTGGTGCCGGAGCAGGAGGAGGTTGTGAGGGAGGGTCGGTGGGCGAGGAGGCTTGTTGGCCTGGGCAGGTGGGTTGGGAGCTTGCCCATTTTTGCGGATTTTCGTATGGTTCGAGTAGTGGTGGAGGAAGCTCAATTAATTTGGAGGCGAGGAAGAGCTCTGGTAGGATCGTAGAGAAAGGTTCGGTGGCGAGAATGGTGCTACGGACGGAGGGAGCGCGCGCGCGTGGGCAAAGGAGAATTTGTTTGAAGCTTTTGGCGATGCTGGCTCGATTGGCTCGATTCTCCTTGGCCGCTGGCCGCGCGACCTGAGGAAACCAAAATTTCGGTTGGTCGGGGCCGGGGAGTTCCGTGCGCGCGGGTCCACAACTCAGCGCGTGCCCGGGGAGTGATTTCTTATCGATAAGGAATTTTTCTGGGTTCGATTTACATCACCGAGAGCTTGAGCTACCACCATTACAAGGGGGGTAAGGAAGTCCAGCTTTTGACGTCCTTCACAGCCACTCCACCAGCCATTGCTTTCCTTTGACGGAATTTACAGACGCGACCTGCGCGGCGTACAGTTGCACCGTTTATTGCTTTGTTAGACTGCCGAATTGCGAAGTGACTGCGCGCTACCCCGTACGGCAACCTCGGGCTAAGCTCCGGCGCATGCGATGACCGGAGCTCGTGTGCTGGGGACCGCGCTGCGTCGCGTCGGCCGGCCAAGGACCGGAGGAGGCGGCGTTCAGCGGACCCTGATTGGAAGCTGTAAGGCATTGCCACTATTCAATATGCTTGAACATGGTCACTGACGCATCGTCTCAGCTCAGAATGAACGTTCGTCAAGCATCCCAGGGCCCGTCGACCTAAACCCACCGACCTCCGAGCACCACCGAACAATACACACGACACCGCGATATCTCTCCTCCTCCTCTTCCTCTTCCTCCTCGAAACCAATGACACCAACGACAACATGGCGCAGAGAACCCCACCAACCCCCAACAACAACCCACGACCCCACAGCCGACCTCCCAGCACAGCTCTGCGGCGTGATGCGGAGACTAGCGCACTCGGTCGTCGTCGCCACGGCCACAGACCGCGCGGGTCGGCCACGGGGCATGACGATGTCGAGCTTCGTGAGCTTGAGCATGGAGCCCGTGCCGCTGGTGACGTTCAACGTCCGGACGCCGAGCCGGACGCTGGATGCGATTCGTGAGAGCGGCGGAGTTTTCAATGTGCATGTTCTCGCGGAGGGAGGGGAGGGCGCGAGGGTTGCGGATTTGTTTACGAGGGGGAACGCTGGTGCCGGGGAGGGGTTGTTTAAGGGATTGCCTAAGGGGGTTGAGGTTGTTGAGGAGGATGGGGAGGCGCCTTTACTTGAAGGGAAGGGGGTGTTGTATGTGATCAAGTGCCGGGCTCTTGGGGAGGGGATGGTGAGGGTTAGGGATCATGTTGTTGTTGTTGGGGAGGTTGAGGGGGTTGTGAGGGGGGGAGGGGAGGGGTTTGGGCTTGTTTATGCTGATCGACGGTATCGGACGCTGGGGGAGTGTTTGGTAAAGGGAGAGAAGTGAAGACGGGAGACTGAGGTTGGAGATGTTGTGTATCATACCCCATGTATAGAGATTGCGGATAGAGTGTATACTATGTGAGGGAAACTCCGCCCATTGATTCCAAAGAGGATGGTTAGGGCGGCTATAAATCGGCACTGGGAGCTTGCTGACGGTATGAACTGGGCTTTGAATTATTTACAACAACCAGCTTTGCACAAGAGACCGTCAGGTGAGAGATATCAAACAGGTCGGTTTTGGCCAAGTCCGATAGATAAAATTCTCTAGGTTCATTCATTCTATGCATACAATGTTACGAATCGCGTTCATGATCATAGGTTCTCCTCCTCCCGTCGTAAGCTTTTCACTGCCTTCCGCATTGGAGTCTCTTGAAGCTCACACCCCACTTCCGACATATTTAAGATAAGGGCACTCGAAATGCATCCGCCATCTGAATAGTAGTGTAATGTGAGATCCAACACCAGTAAAGACAGTGTAACGACTCCGTCTATTTGCCCGGGCACCCACGGCCTAAGCCATTGGAGATTGAACAGCAATCAGCGTTCTATGCATATTACACGTCAGTTCTGCCCTTTAATTCTTCTCATCGTGTTACTTACACATTTGGTGCGGGGGATATTATAGTCTGTAGCACAATACTTGTGCAGCGGACAGTAAATGTTGCCGGGAAGAGTACCGTACTGCCTAAAGCAGGCAGCTTCTGAGCTAAAGCAACAGTCATGCTTCCCATCGCACTGAGCATTTGGGTCGCCAACTCCTGGGGCTTTCTGTCGGTTCTCAAGCCTAGCCGGGTTGGCGATGGCCGTTCCCACCGTCAGGGAGATGATGCTGATAATAACTGAGGAGAACTTCATGGTTGAGGAATAGAATCAGGTTTGGTTGTAGATGTGTAAGATGTGGAAGTTGGATAGAGATAAGAATGAGCTGGTTCTAAGTCATCCTGATGATCCAAGACGGATGAGCTTTATACTTTTCTCAGATAGCTCAAACCGCTGTGTGTACTTGAAAATAGAATCCTGATATTCGGGCTTGCCCCTTTCCAATTCATGAGACTACGGCCTTGATACGTCCTAAAGGGCTGCCCAGAGTCCATCGGCGTAGCACACTGATTGTGCCAATGTTCGAGCTAGTTGCCTTTGATGGTCGACAGGTTAAAGTCGAGACTTGGTAAGGTATGCACGTACACTTCCTAGTCCGGCAAGTTTTCTTATTCCAGGCCACCAAGGCAGAATATTCAGATTTAGAGCTTTCGTTTAGGAAACAATATCCATGAAGCATGTTCCAAGGCCCGTAGTCCATCGCTTATAGAGTTTACAACCGTGCGAGTAGGTATGCGAGTCAGTTTATTCTGCGTTGACAGTAGGAATACCCGCGCCTATCGCGTTTCACACTGTGCTTAGCTGCCCGAGTGCCGCCTTACGTAGAGTAATACATGATGAAGTATAAGGTAATAATAACGAAATACGTGTCGGTTTGAGTGATTATCAATATGGCCGAAGTGGGATTTGGTATGTCTGTTCACCTCCTGTTCTAGGAGGTGTTTCTTGTTCGAGGCCATCAAGGCCGTCAAGGCCATCGATACTAGTGAAAGTTTATGTTGCCTATTCATCTCTCTATGAGGTTCGACAACCACACTCTCAAGTCCGCGAACTAACAATAACTATTGCATGAAGAAGTCTAGTCTGTTTCATATCACGAGAACGGTATCTCCTGCTCAAGCAAGGCAAGGGGCCTATTTCTAGGAGTGGCATCGATGCGCTATGGCAATGCCTCAATGGAATTTTATGTTATATAAAGGGTCAGATCATCTGTCGACCGAGAGTTGCAATCACTCGACTCTTCATTCACAACACAACTATCACGACCTCTCAAACACTTTACTTCAAAACCACCTTCAAGCAGCACTTCATATCTCCAATATGCAGCTCATCAACTTTATCTTCATTACTGCCATGACCATTACATCGGTTAATGCTGGCGTAGGTGACCTCTTCCGGTTCGGCCAGCTTTGATGCAGAGTCGCTAACACTCGATATAGTGCATGATTGCAGGGAGCTACGATCCCAATTGCTGCTGGGGCGGTAAAGATAACGTAGATGCCTGTAACAGGCAAGGCGCTTGCAACGTTGCCGGCGACACAGAAAATTACTGTGCCAAGTTTGGAATCACCCCGCAGCAGTGTGTAAGTAGCCTCATGAACTGCCCCTTCTGCCCCAAGATATTACAGATGACCTTTCTGACATGCTCTCTGTCTAGGATGCCGATTGTTGCGACACACGCACCAAGAAAGGCAAGCCTTGTCCTAAGGGGAGGAATGCTTGTGACCGCAAAACGGGCTGCCCTAACAGGTAGACTATTGCCGTTGCAACTTCGCACTGTTCAGGCTGCCCATCGCTTAGTATCTCGCTTATCTCGCTTATCCCGCATAGAGCGGTTACCGAAACTGGGTGGTTCTACCACCGCTTGGACCTGGCTAGCACTCTTAGCATACCTACCTTGAAAATAGCATTCATTCAGCTCAGTGTGGGCCTGGAAACTCGCCCGTGTCCCATTCTTCAGTGCCTGGATGTGTCTAGATATGCCCAACCATGTGCAACTATTGTTGAGGGTGGTCAAAATTAACCTTGAATTGAGAGTTATATAGTCTGAGTCAAAAAGTGTAAATAAACGGGAGTTAATTGGCCTGTCTTAATGTCTGCTGGTAGGTTTTGGATAGAGCAAGTTCTATAAGCAACTCTTCCTGCGGCTCCTTGGCAGCGGTGTGAAACGGGTCCCAACTGAAGTAGGACAGGCATTGTAGTTGAAGCCGAGAATAGACGTCGTGAAAAGAGATGGACCGTGCAACGACCCCCTGGCCGTTGCCAATGATGCGGGCGGTTCAGACGCGGGGGAGATGAGATGTGCTGGCATATCCGTAAGGCGCCGCCGCAGACTTAAGCCAGCAGCCCAGCACCCAATCTCGGGGCAGATTTCACGAAGGGGTGGCGCTTTATTTTCAGCCTCGTTGATGGGTGGGACTTGTGGCAAGGGTATTTCAACGCCAGACGACTGGTTGCTGGGCTTAACTTCGCCCGCGTTGACATCGAACCATTCAAGGTGGACCTTAGAGCAAACAGAAGTATCTAGCAAACAGTGGAAGTGTCGATTTCTGCTTGAGAACATTGAGAACGGGGATCCATCGTTCGGAGGCGGTAAAACTGGAGTAAAAGAAGACTTTGGACTGGACAAACAGACACTGTTCATCCCCACATCGAAGCAGGCACGGAGGCACGGAGGCACGGAGGCAAGGGAGAATCAATGGAAGGCAAGAAGCTGTGACCACCGGACGCTACGTGAGGTACCTAGGTAGAGCGACGCCTTCCTTAACCTTCTGAAGCTGAAGTAGGTATAGGGTAGGTAAGGTACATACAAAAGAGGTTCCTTACATAAGGTGAGGTACCTAACATAAATACACTTGAAGCTGTTTACAAGGTAAGCGCACCTCAGTGGATGGCGGTAAGGCGTCCCTTCCCCAAATGCATCGGATGGCGATTCTCTTCTTTTCCATGCTGGTCTGAGTCTGAGGTGCTATGGAGGCAGGCGCAGGCGGCAGGCGGCAGGCAGGCGAGGAAGGCACAAGAAAAAAAAGGGACCCTCGTCCCACACGGTGGCCCCCGCAGATCGGCCAATCAGAGCCCCCGCACGGTTGCTGTGGTGGCAGGGCAAGCGAATCAGAGAAGGGTCTGGAAGGCCTGGAGGTGATGGAATCGCATAGAATTCTTGAGCTGGGGGGGTGAGCGTCGCTGCCTTTCTGCTTTGGGGTCCAGACGGCCACCGGGACTCCAGACGCCTTTTTCTTTTTTAGCCTCCTCCTCTTCCCACGTCGTCTTGACTCTCAGACTTCTTCTTCTTCGCATCTCAACTTTTCCCTCTCTCTCCCAATTTCTCTCTTCTCTCCTACTCCCCCAAAAGAATCAATCTTTCCATCGTCGATTCGTAGCAGCGAAAGACCTGTTGCATTCGTAGAGAAGCTCTTCTCAAGGTAAGCCCGCCGAAACACACCCCGCTGTCCCGGCCTGGTCTCGATGCCGTTTTGCCGTCCCTACCGTCACCCCTCACTTCTTTTTCGATTGGAACTTGGTATCTCGCAATTCAAGCGTCAGCCTCGTCAGTGATTGAGATTGATCATCTCTGCATCATCTGCCCTGGAGATCCAATCCCGCGAAGTCGGCGACAAGGCTCCCCTCCCCCCGCTCTACTACCCCTCCACAAATCGCAGCCTCACCGCCACACAACCACCTCTTCCAAACAACATCTAACAAATCTTGACAGAATTACGACCGTTACGCCCTAGATACCCACATCCTCCATCACAATGTCTTCCCCGGAGACCTTCGAGTTCCAGGCTGAGATTTCTCAGCTCCTGTCGCTCATCATCAACACTGTCTACTCAAACAAGGAGATCTTCCTGCGTGAGCTTGTTTCCAACGCCTCCGATGCCTTGGACAAGATTCGCTATGAGTCCCTCTCCGACCCCAGCAAGCTCGACTCGGGCAAGGACCTGAGAATCGACATCATCCCCGACAAGGAGAACAAGACCCTTACCATCCGTGATACCGGTATTGGTTTCACCAAGGCTGTAAGTACCACATGTTCCCAATATTTACCACTCAATTGCAATGATCAGTAGCTGACCTCCTCAGGACCTCGTCAACAACCTGGGTACAATTGCCCGCTCCGGAACCAAGCAGTTCATGGAGGCCCTCACCGCCGGTGCTGATATCTCCATGATCGGCCAGTTCGGTGTTGGTTTCTACTCTGCCTACCTTGTCGCCGACAAGGTCACCGTCGTCTCCAAGCACAACGATGACGAGCAGTACGTCTGGGAGTCTTCCGCTGGTGGTACCTTCTCCATCACCCCTGACACCGAGGGTGAGGCTCTTGGCCGTGGCACCAAGATCATCCTTCACCTGAAGGATGAGCAGACCGACTACCTCAACGAGGCCAAGGTCAAGGAGGTCATCAAGAAGCACTCCGAGTTCATCTCCTACCCCATCTACCTCCACGTCACCAAGGAGACCGAGAAGGAGGTTCCCGATGAGGAGGCCACCGAGACCACCGAGGAGGGTGACGACAAGAAGCCTAAGATCGAGGAGGTCGATGACGATGAGGAGGAGAAGAAGCCCAAGACCAAGAAGGTCAAGGAGACTTCCATCGAGGAGGAGGAGCTCAACAAGCAGAAGCCCATCTGGACTCGCAACCCCCAGGACATCTCCCAGGAGGAGTACGCCTCCTTCTACAAGTCCCTCTCCAACGACTGGGAGGACCACCTTGCCGTTAAGCACTTCTCTGTTGAGGGTCAGCTCGAGTTCCGTGCCATCCTCTTCGTTCCCAAGCGCGCTCCCTTCGACCTGTTCGAGACCAAGAAGACCAAGAACAACATCAAGCTCTACGTCCGCCGTGTCTTCATCACCGATGATGCCACCGACCTCATCCCCGAGTGGCTCGGCTTCGTCAAGGGTGTTGTCGACTCTGAGGACCTTCCCCTCAACCTGTCTCGTGAGACCCTTCAGCAGAACAAGATCATGAAGGTCATCAAGAAGAACATCGTCAAGAAGGCTCTTGAGCTCTTCCAGGAGATCGCTGAGGACAAGGAGCAGTTCGACAAGTTCTACTCTGCCTTCTCCAAGAACCTTAAGCTCGGAATCCACGAGGACTCCCAGAACCGCAACATCCTCGCCAAGCTCCTCCGCTTCAACTCCACCAAGTCTGGCGATGAGCTCACCTCCCTCTCCGACTACGTCACTCGCATGCCCGAGGTCCAGAAGAACATCTACTACATCACTGGCGAGTCCATCAAGGCTGTCACCAAGTCTCCCTTCCTGGACTCCCTCAAGGAGAAGAACTTTGAGGTTCTCTTCCTTGTTGACCCCATTGATGAGTACGCCATGACTCAGCTCAAGGAGTTCGAGGGCAAGAAGCTCGTCGACATCACCAAGGACTTCGAGCTCGAGGAGACCGAGGAGGAGAAGGCTGCCCGTGAGGCCGAGGAGAAGGAGTACGAGGGTCTCGCTAAGAGCCTGAAGAACGTTCTCGGCGACAAGGTCGAGAAGGTTGTCGTCTCCCAGATGCTCACTGGTGCCCCTTGCGCCATTCGCACTGGCCAGTTCGGTTGGTCCGCCAACATGGAGCGTATCATGAAGGCTCAGGCCCTCCGTGACACCTCCATGTCCTCGTACATGTCTTCCAAGAAGACCTTCGAGATCTCCCCCAAGAGCACCATCATCAAGGAGCTCAAGAAGAAGGTCGAGACCGACGGCGAGAACGACCGCACCGTCAAGTCTATCGTCCAGCTTCTCTTCGAGACCTCTCTCCTGGTCTCTGGCTTCACCATTGATGAGCCCGCCAGCTTCGCCGAGCGCATCCACAAGCTTGTTCAGCTCGGCCTGAACATTGACGAGGAGGAGGAGACTGTCGAGGCTCCCGCCGCTGACACATCCGCTGTCGAGACTGGTGACAGCGCCATGGAGGAGGTTGACTAAAGGATCTTTGGGATGAAAAATACGGGATACCAGAGAAAAAGTTCATCGGAGTTGGACGGTTTTCGGTTTTAATTGCGGCTTCGGAAGATTTCCATAATTGCCTCCCCATATTAGATGTATGGGTGTATTCTAGTTAGCCCGTCATGATCATGAGACAGATGAGGTAGACGCTCAGAATTGGAATGTTAAGACAAACAACCTTCTATGGTGATGTGATATATTGTGCCTTGTACTTGTGGTATCTCGTCTTGTCGCCAGTTGGTCGAGTTTGGTTGACTGGCTGTGATGGTATGCCTCTTCTAACCTGCTCTCCATAGATGGAGCCATCGAAGAATGTCAGTATAAAGTGGTTCCCTAAGAAATCTACGCCGTCGTTCTTGGCAGCAAAGATGATGCTTTTTGAGGAACGACTAGCTCATGGCAAACCACGGCCGCCCGAACTGGATGCGACAGGCCTCCTGATAAGACTTCTTGCGCGAGCAGCCGGTCTTTGACATGACACCGTTGTGTCTGAGCTGCCCAAATTCCAGGCCGGGCCCTTCTCGCCGTCGTCTCGCCACTGGCTCACGCTCACTCACGCTGAATCGCGCTATATGGGTATCCGTGATGGTGGAAAAGTTCAGAGAGCCCCTTTGGCTCAGTGGTAGAGCGTCGCACTCGTACTTGTTCGACATGCGAAGGTCCACGGTTCAATCCCGTGAGGGGGCATTCTTTTTACATCCTCGACTCAAGTTGCATCCTTTTTCTCGTTCTAATCGCTTGTATACATTCACTTGATACTCGGGAGCCGACTGGTACACTACACGAGGCATTTGGCATGCTCCGGGTTGA